CACCACCGTCCGCATACCTGTGCAATTACCACGAGGAAATAAGAACAGTTCCGTCGCTCCCTACACCCTCGGTACACACGATTTGTATATATTACAATCATATCGTACCCACGTCTCTAAGCCAATCTAACCGGAACACAAACAGTCAACAGCTTACAATGCCTATTAAAATATAGTTAATTTCCAGAATAAAATATGTATATTACCCTTCTTCCATATAAATAGTTTTTGAGGCTTTCAAAAAGGCAGAGATTCTTAATTAGTCTGTATTTTACTTATTTTTGTTACACGATATATTCGCACATTGTTAACAGATTTTCATAGTTCTTTATTTAATAGAATTTGTACATATATAAGGGTCCCATATATATTTAAAGAAAAAGTTCCACCTCTAAACGTGGAATAATTACCTACCTTAATCCCTCTATGACCGCGGACACGCCGGTGTTACATTTAACAATAGATTTCTTAGAAATTTAATTAATTGCTGAGAAATTTACCTGGTGGTGTTAAAGTGATTTCGACGTAAGTGTACCTTTTTTGGTAAAAAGTAATTAGCGAATATGATTATACCGGAGAATGTTTTAACCAAACAGATGTTTGTTTCGTTCTGGATAAAAAGAAAAGAGGACAGGACAATCGCTACCTAACACGTAACTCTCAAAAGCATATGGAGAGCGGACAACAAAATGGTTAGCCGCTACATCCGCCATGCACGAATGAAAGATTTAGTTGAAGTCAATAATTTCATATAACCTATAATCTTTCCTCTACAATTATAATCGATATCCAAGAAACATTTTAAATGTCTCTCAGAACCAAATTACGAACATTAATAAAATGAGAAACGACATCTACTTCAATTAAGTATATAAAAAATAAAAATTTTAAACTACTTTTTTAATAACCTTGGGCGTTTAGTATTTCCAGTAAATGTATTATCGTCTTATTTATGTCACTTACGACATAACACGCACCATTGACTCTGAACAGTGCAAAAGGAATTCCCCGACGCGGAGTACGTACAGAATGGACCAATATGAACTTAATGATTAAAAATCACTGAGAGGTATTTCTTATTGTTTATACCATGGAATATGGATTATAATTTTTATTTCTTTAAGATATTTTTTATTGAAAGCGAATAATTAACTTTTATTCGTATTTTAACAAATATCATTAATACTGCAAATATAAGAAAGTATTTCTCAATTAATAGAGCTTGCAAAAAAAAATGTCTCAACCCGCTTTGTTTTAGACTTGAACCAATTTGTTTGATTAACAACGGCTTCTGTTAAAATTAAGATTTCACAATTATATAAATAAATAAATAAATATCTTGAACTATAAAGTAATACTTGAAAAAAAAGTATCGAGTTCTTCACAAAATGAACTTTGTTGTAGTCGTCCTTGCTGCGAACGTAAACATTATTGTTTGATCACGTGGCTACGGCTATTATAATCTGATAAAGACATCTTAAAGACTCTTTGTTTAATGAAAATCAGGAAGTATGTATTTATAAAATATTGGTTTATTACTAGCATTGCCCGCGGCTTCGCCCGCGTTCTTATGACCGAAAACCAAGTTCTTAGGTTTTACATATTAGTACTTATACTCTTACATTGCAGTTTTTGTATTTTTTCTCAAAAATGAGATATTTTCCCGCGGTGAAAAGTATCCTATATGTTGACCCGGATAACCAGCTATCACCATATGCGGTAACAGACAGATAGACAGACAGACAGACAAAAATTCTAAAAACTATAGATTCGGCCTCTGTATCGATAATAATGTTTATTACAATAAGATTTTCCAAAAAATAACTAATGTACAGATTCGGCTTAGTTACAATTTTATTATATGTATAGATTTTAATATAACAGTTGTGCAATGGACAATAAAAATCTACTGAATAACCAAATTTTAAATTAATACTAAAATAAACCTTATCTATAAAATATAATATTTTCCTTTCCATTCAGGATATAATATATAACAAAAGAATTCGTGGTAGTTACAAATTGACCACAGAGCTTATATAATTTAATTTGTATATTAATGCTAAATATTTATTCGATTGAGTATATACTCAATGTTCTTAGAAATATTTAACATTTAACTTTCATTTAACACAATATTCCTTGTTCATAAGACACATATTTTTTTTTTTTACAAAAATATTACTTAATTGAATAATTAAAATTGATCGAGAATATTAAAAGAAAAAAAATCGATTTAATTGGGGACATAATAAACAATGCTTGTAACAGTCTCTTCAGATGAGTTTTCATGTGCATAATAAAAGAATATCCTGCTTTCAAGGTTTGCAATAACGGACCCGACCCGCAAGCGATGGTGTAAATAAAGCGACTCCGGAGGACATCGACCCGATGTATCGAAACGTATTCAACATAAATCAATTATAAGTTTATACACCTATTTATTTATTTATTTATTTCCAATATTGAGTTCATTGTACATAGATTACGGGGGTGATTCATAAGATGACACCGATAATATCAGATATTGTTGTGTTTGGTGACAACAACGGAAATCTACTAAGTGTACTTACTTAGTCATTATTTTTTATGAATTTGCGTAACTCACTCTTACTTAAGGGTCTACGTAACAATTTTATCAATTCTATATAAGAATATTTTGTTTCTATTTTATTAATAATCTACGTACGCCCACATTATATCCTTACTTACACAAAACAATATCAAAGAAGACAAAATAAGAAATCAATATCACAAAAAAGTAATGTATTTTTATAATATTTAATTTTATTAATTTATTCAAAGTAATTACACGACGAATGGTCAACTGTGATAAAGACGAGAGAGAGAGCCATTATTATATGCGATTAAAATAATTATTACCAAAGGAGTCATGAGTAATAAGGGGACAACGGCCGACGCACCTGGGAGGTGCAATCGCATGCTCGCTAGCGACTGGAACCGTTTCTATTTTTACACCCTCCACTCTATCTTATTTACTATTCTGGTCCGCCACTCATTGAATTGTGGTTATTATGTGCAAGTTGGATATGTGCCAGCGACTCGGACCTAACACACCGATAGTGAGATATTCAAAGAATCACATTATGACGATGTAGTGGTTCACTGAAAATTATAACGGGAGCATTCTTTGTATTTTTTGTCGACTATACAAAGTCAAGGATATCAGATAACCACGGGCGAAACGTCGGCAACGTTCATACGTAATAATAGCAAGATTAGGTATCAGCGTATGTAGATTCTTTAAAATAGGGACAATTGGGGTCATTTACATACGTTATGAACAAGTGAGAAAGAGCAACAAGAGAAGAGATCACGTCAAACCGGCGGGCGGGCGACGGTGGCTAACAAAACCGGTCGACGGCGCCGGCCGTCGGGCGCAGGATAGCTTGAGGATTATCACCTTGTAAACAGTATTGCATTAGTTACGTTTTTTGTTACACGTAAATTAATGGGACTTACAGCATTAATCGATGAAGCGATTTACAGAAGCTGATTTATTGTAGCAGGTAAGTACAGGTTCTAGAAATAGGTACTCAAATGGTTAAAATTCATAATGTATTTAACTAATAGATATTATATCTTAAAAAATAATCAGGTGTTTAGCAATTATTAAACACCTATTTTACAAAGACTAAAACATGACTGTACTTCTTGGTAACCAATAAAGCACGACTAATTCACTTTTCGAAACAATTTGGGGATAAAAAGTTTTATAGACCGACCGCAACGACAAGAAGCCGAAACGAAATCGGTTAAGTGGGTCATCATATAATTTCGCAAGCGTATCGAGTGCCGCAAGCATTAACTGGTACGCCCGAGGCGAGTCAAGGCCCGCACCGACGACGTCTACAGCTCCTGCTTCATTTGCCAGCGTGCTGGGTGCTTTATGAAAACGTGCTAATTACATCCTATAAAAGTTAGAGCAGTGTTGTTTACAGAATAAACATATATTTTTACACATATTTCTTTCATATTTTCGACCTTTGCCTTTTATAAAACAAATGCACTCATAAAATTAAATCTATCTTGATACTGAATATTTTACTCCAAATAACAAATGTTTATCGAAAACTACTTGACAGACGGTAAAAAATGTATAATACAAATATAGTTTTTGTATACCCTTATAAAAAGTAGGACAAAAGTATCGCATTAACTTAAGAGTTGGCAAAGGACCACATAATAAATGTTCATAACGGAACTTTTAACGATCTTTTTGGACAACGATCACTTAAATAAGGTTATAGAATGCCATTTTAAACTAGCTATTTAAATTTAAGTAACATTCACTTGCGCAATTCGACATGCGTAACTGACAACAGAAGCATGTGAAATGTTAACTATCAGATTCCTCAGGTTCACGATAGTTTTATTTTGAAGGATTTCTTAAAATACGATTTAGGCTATTTTATACTAATATAATTATTTTTTACATATAATATTTATATATATTCTTTTCAAAACTTTCATGCCCGATTTCACTATCAACCCATAAGCTACCACCTACGTATGGAGTCCTTAGCTTAAAAGTCCCCTAAACTAGCCCCTAAATTAAATTTCGTTTTACGATCGTCTTTAAGCCCATATTTCGAGCACCTAAATTTAGGGGGCCTTTTAATATTTAGGTGACCCCTAACTGTCGGTGAAACAGAAACTGTCCCCTAACAGCCCCCTAACCATGCTTAGGGGATCCCTTAAACTTAGGTGACGTTGGTGAAATCGGGCATCAATCTTTTCTACTTAAGTACTTGAATTGTTATATTTCAATAGCATATGATAAGGTGATTATGTAATACATATATGTAGATAAGTACGTGTTAATATTATATCATCAAGAAAAATCATTAATCTCTAATAGAATATAATTTCTCTTTATTACAAGTACATTCTTCAATCAACTTGTCAAGCTTACAATTAGGATGTTCTAGTATTATTTTAAAATAATTATAATGTCAATCAAAACTGGTTAAACTTACCCCTTCATTTCCGGGTAGGAACTGTATTTTAGGTTTAGCCAATTTGTCCTGAAAATACAAAAAGAAAAATATTAATAATTGAATTTTTAATATGTAGTAATAATATAGAAGATAACAGTGGATCTAATTTTTTCAATAAAATCTTTTTTGTTTGAAAAACAAATTAAATGATACGCCAATGATATCAGTGGTGCGAGACCCGGGTTTCGAACCCGCTTTACTTGGTTTCCTAAACGAGCGCAGTATCACTCGCTATCCTACTGTTTTTTAATAATTTTTTATAGGCGACTTAAAATGTAAATTTTGCTTTGTGTCTTCCTTAATAACAATTAATCAAGATTACATAAAAACATAATTTGATTCTTAACTTTGTTTTATGTTTGGATTCGTTTGTTTGGATTCAAAATTACAAAATTATCAAATAACTATTATTTGACTGGGATACTAGATGACAAAATAAACTCCTATCTCTTTCCAGGGAAAATATCGAGTTGCAGTAAACTATACAGATAAATAAAATTGAAGCATCTGTTTGTAATGTCAAAATAGCAGCGTTTTACTAAATGCATATGAAATTATTATATACGGTACTTATAAGAAAAACACAATTTTTAAAATTTTTGTCTGTCTGTCTGTTTGTTCCGGATAATCTCTGAAATGGCTGGACTGATTTTGACGGGACTTTCACTGTAAGAAACCTGATGTCATAGGGGGTAACATAGGCTACTTTTATTTTAGAAACAGAATTAGGGGTCCGTTCCAAAAAAATTAAAACGTACCTAGGGACGAACCCGAACAAAGCGAGGGTGTGTCGCTAGTGAATAAATAAGCACCGTTTCAATGGAAAGTATAACACGTTGCAAAGAAACGACGATAGCTTAATTATTTACCGTTTTCGATATTCTTGCATTATGTCATAACATTACAATACCAAATTTATTATAGCGTAAATCATCATAATTATAATGTTATATATTGTAGTCTGTACATGAAGTCGATTTGTTTGTTTTGTGTCCAATATGTGTCATGTCGTGTAAATAATTTTTAATGATAAAAGCAAACATAAAGAACAAATAATTGCCATTCGAAACAATTGCAGTCTTGACCATGTCTTTGGCGCAACGTTAGAATGTTTTAGAAGTAAACGGAGGAAATGGTAAAAGTAATGATTTCAATGAAATAAATAAATAAATAAATTATAAGTACAATCTAATAAAATGTAGTAATTAGATGAAACAAAAAAAAGTCATACTAGTTGAGCAACAACTCAGGCCGGCCACAATAAGTAAGTGTCGGCAAGTTGCAGCGTTGCACAACCGATGGTCGAACGCGAGAAACATAACTAGGCTGGGCGGCAGTCGATGATGTAAACTTAAAAATTGCTTTAGTTACTTACTTAACAACTGAGCTCGATGTGAAATTTAAAGTTGCATCGCGGTCTAGACTGGGCGGGGATGACCCGGAACTAACATTGGACCCTGACTTTGTATGAAGTTAAAGTACCGACAATCATGTAGTAAAGCATTTGCCTTAATTAAACAGTAGAAGACTTTGCCTGCCTTAAAAACTGTAAGAATTGGAACTTGTTGTGAGTGCCAAACCAGTTTTAACTGGCAAGGTCGTAGTGAATTATATTATACCAATTGTATAAATTTAATAAAATTTATGGAGTATGTCTTTAAGTTATTTTTGATTTAAAAAAAAAGACCAAAAATACATCCAAGATAAAAAAGTTAATCACAAAGACACACAATAAAATATTTATTGTCATTGTATTTAAACATAGCAGTCTTAAAACAAGTTAACACCTCGAGGTAAATTTCTAAGAAATTAATGAAATTCCTAAGAAACCTATTGTTAACTGTAACGCCGGCGTGTCCGCAGTCGTTGAGGGATTAATTAGATACTGAATAATAAGTTTCTCGATAACATTATCTCGGTGTCTGTCTATGACATATTATTAAAAAAAAGTATATATATAATATAATACTTCTTTCTGCCATTTCATATGACCCTTAGAAAAGAATAATTTAACGTACATAACAACATAATGAATTACTGTTTGTAATAAGTTCTACGCGCTCAATTTGCAACCATGGATTATAATAATTGTCACATTAAAATAACCAAATAATGGACTTGTGTTTGTTATTATTGCTTATTTTATCAATAAAAATACAATTCCGACCTTGTGTTAAATTACCGTGTTGTACACTGAGGCAATGAAAACGCGCACAAAACGACCTTACCAGAATACTCTGGTGACCTTTAATGGAACAGTAACAAGCGCTTTTACATATCTTTTACCATTTTAGATTAGATAGAAGGAAACTTATGATATCATTTCATCTCTCCCATAGTAATAATATGTTTAGTGAACACCTACATCGGAACATCCGTTTCAGCAACAGTTCAACAGTCATTATTAAAATTTGAAAAAAAAAATCGATAAAATCTTAAACGGTACTTCTTTTAGATTTTGCCCGTTGTATATGACGATAAGAAAGAAAGTGTCAATTCTCAAGGCGGGGCTCAGCAGTAGCTGCATAAATCTCAGACTAACCAAGTAGGCATGGCGACATACATACTTTGGAAACAACGCTACATCCGATAAAACCAGTACTTTTATTATTTTGTCCCAACCGTGAAAGTAGAGACAAAATCAGACTAAGAGGATACGTTACGCCATAAGAATTTAAAGAAAAATTGCACATTCAATTCGATTTTATATTTTTGATATAGGGTTGCTTTTAAAAATTCTTTCGGCTTATTGCCAAATTATTATTTTAGACATTATACAAGTTGACATTGACATTTAATTAAGCCTAAATAAAAAATGCGACACTCTAGTCTATACACATAATTAATAAAATTTTAACCGAGTCGAAACTGTACATAAATATTTTTTGGAAAATCTTATTGAAATAGACATTATTATCAATACAGAGGCTGAATCTACAGTTTCTAGAATTTTTGTCTGTCTGTTACCGCATCACTGGAAAACCAGTGGAGGAATTTTGATAAAATTTGGTATGATGATAGCTGGTTACCCGGGTCAACATATAGGAAGATACTTTTTACTGCGGGAAAATATCTCATCTCCGAGTTAAACGCCAAAACGTAACTTGGGACGATCCCGAGCAGAGCGAGGTTGAGTCGCTAGTATCATTAAATAAATTTATATTAAGTATTCAACTGTTCATATTTTTACACAAAATTGTTTATTTATATTTAAACACATAATAAAGGATCGTTAAATCATTCAGTGACATCCTGTAAGAATCACGCCCCTTATGAATAATGATTCAACTAGACAAACTAGCGACTATGCTGTAACCTGTTGAATTTAGGAAAATAAACTGAAAGTTCCATATTCCACTAATGCTTCTGTAACCACCACCTAATATATTTATTTGTATTATCTGGCAATAAGACATCGTAAAGAAGAATGAAACTCTTACCGCAAATCCGAGGTATACTAAGCAAGTTTAGTTTTTATTATTTATCGTTTTAGCTTTTTTATAATAAAGAGATTATAATTAAAATGCCCTGTGTAATATTGGACCTCTTTCATTTTTACTTTTTGGTGTGATTAATGTTAGAATATCACTACATATTAAAAAACAAAATCACCCCGCCACGCCTAACGCGATAAACTCAAAAAGTACCGAGCGGATTTTCATACGGCTTTCATCAATGGACGGGATGATTCATGAGGAAGGTTTAGGTGTGTTATTCATTCATAAAGGTTTGTGTAAATTGGCTGAAATATGACGATGCATTTTGATGATGTAGGAAAAAATTATGCTAACGCTTATTATCTGCCCGAATATAATATAAGCGTGCGCCGCGTAAGCCTATATCTATACATATAATAAAATTGTAACTAAGCCGAATCTGTACATTAAATATTTTTTGGAAAATCTTATCGAAATAAACATTATTATCGATACAGAGACCGAATCTATAGTTTTTAGAATTTTTGTCTGTCTGTCTGTTACCGCATCACAGAAAAACCACTGTAGGGATTTTGATGAAATTTGGTATAATGATAGCTGGTTATCCAGGTCAACATATAGAAAAAATTTACCGCGGAAAAATGTCTCATTTCTGATAAAAAATACAAAAACTGCAATGTACTAATATGTAAAACCTAATAATTTGGTTTTTGGTCATCTGGACGCGGGCGGAGCCGCGTGCAAAGCTAGGAAGGTTATAGGAAAACAATGTATTACGAAATTATTCCTCTTAGAAAGATCTATTAAACTGTAGCAACACTATAGATACGTACCTAGGGATGCACACGAGCGAAGCATGGCTAAGTCACTACATTAACCATATTAACAAATATTTTGTAAATAGAAAACCGTCCGTGTACATTTTGTTTAATAGATAGAGATCTTTATTTTTGTATGCAACAGATTGTGTACAGTAATATAGTGTAAGTACTATACTATATATACTGTACTCTTTAAGTACCTATGTAACCAAAAGTGGAAAAGAAAGGAAAAGCATTTTACTGCGTGAATTCAATTTAAAGTACTACTACGCACAGATCTATACATAGATAGTACAACGGAGATATTTTCATTTCGATACATATATGTATAATCTCCTTACCCGGGGTAAAATTAGTAGTAATTCTCCAAAAGGAAAGCAACCAATGTGTGTAAATGTACAAAATTTCATTAAGATAGGCTCAGCGATCTAGCCGTGCAATCACAAAAATAACCACACAGCCCACCTTATGACGCCATCGGTGAATTTTAAAAGCTGTGACTTTTATAACATCCTAAACATTGTATACGTAAATAAAGAAAAATCGTTTTATACTTTTTACATTCAATATTACCGCGAAACAATAATCTGTCTGTCTGTTTTCATTACTAGAGGTACTTATTTTAAATAAGCTTTATACAAAATAAGTTCTATATATAAAGAAAACCACAGATAGACGCGTTATTCGTATTAATCGTTACTGAATATAGAATAGGTGTGTAAATCATTACTTTTTCACTTGTATTATATATTTCTTACTTTGGAACCTA